CCTTGTGTGTTGATGCCAGGCCGCTGTGTGAGTGAGAGCGAGGCAAGTCTGGGCATACTGAAGTGGGAAGGCCTAGGTGGCAACACCAGCATAGCGCAAAATATGAACTAAGCTGGCAGACAGCATGGGCTGTCTGTGCAGACAGTACAGGCTGTCTACATACGCTCGGCCACCTACCACGCATCGTCCCGACGCAACAATACTGGTAGTAAAAGAAACTCGGTCTCTCTCTCATAGGAACAGGGCACAGAACACAAAATAAAAACATATATATACATATGGACATGGAAAAAAAAACTTCCTACAGGGAGGGAAGAAAAAAACATGTGGGGTGTGCTAAACATCGTGGTCAAAGGCAGTGAGCGTCGAAGGGCATCACTGCATGCCTTCCTGCGTCTGGACATATACTGCAACACAGGAGACATCGCTGTGGCTGAGCTGTGACGTAACAGGTTACGCTCTCCTCTGGAACGGTGAAGCAGACATCGTAGGAGTCGCTGCAGGTTTTCACTCAACCTGGGGCACGACATGCTGGTGCCCTCGAGTGAGGCGTCGACAAAACTCGGCAACAGGGCAGGACTTCTGGCAAGCGACTCAGGACACTTCTCGACTGGTACTGTCGCTGGGCTGTCACTGCCAGTGAGCGTGGAGCGAGTTGTGGAGCGAGTCGTGGCAGAGACGACTGGGCGAAACATCTGGGAGTCGTAACATCATACACCAGACTGCAGTGAGCGAGCTAGCAGTCAAAGTGACATCATCTTTGTGCAGGCTGCTCACTGAAGCTTGTGACACGAGGATGACACAGCGCCTGCCGACAGGCCTGGCTGCGGCTTGACGAGTATCATCTCTCGACAGTTGGAGTTATAGCAGAGGTTAGCCTAAGCATCCCCAGACTTGTTTCTCTACATATAACTGCACTCTGAAGGTCTGGAGGTGAAGTGAAACAAATCTCGATGGGAATCGTAGCAGGTACGATTCTGCAGAACATCACGAGCGACGAGCATTAAAGCTTTCTGTACAAGAGGGCTCGTATGCTCAGGGCTGAGTAATCAGCTGTCAAACACACTGGTCACACGGGTGACTTAGCACAGTGGTGCCACTCAGGTCTGGCTCAGACCTCACTGGACACACGGAAACTTTAAAAACACACCGCTGTACATACGGTACACTAACATGTGAGAACACTGACTGAGAGGAATTAATTAACACACTACATATATTTTCTCTCAATCTTCTCGACAATACTAAAATAATTACTAGAACACTCGATGGTGACATCATGTGATGTCAGGCGTGATGTCGCGAGGTGACGTCAGCAGCACTGTGACGTCAGCAGACATCTCGAGGTGACGTCATGAAGTCGGGCAGCATCGTGGGTGACGGCGATGTGATGCGGGCAGCAGACCACAGCATGTGGCCTGGGATATCTGGTAACTCACGTGGCTTTGTAGGTCTACGTGACATCGGCCACACCCAACGTGGTGTCGATCCACGTGGTGTCGTGATCTACGTGGCATGCTGATCCACGCAGCTTCGAGTGGCCTCGGGCACTCGGATACACAGTTCTGGCAAAAAATTCACACGAAAAACAGCAGAAAACACAGCAGAGGGAGTGGGCAGTGGTGTATGGTAGTGTGGTGGCGAGGAACGTGGGTGAGTGTATGGCGGGGCGAGCATCTAGCCATTCCTCCTCCTCCTCCACCCACAAACACGTGGAGAAGCTCAAACTGGACGCAGAAATCACCACAAAACTCGCCTCTGGCTTGCTGAAACAGCTGTGCTGAGCTGAACAACAACAACAGCATACAAGTGACGCTGAACACGTGACTTGGGAAACAGCGTGGGACACTGTAGCATGGGACGCTGTAGCGTAGGGTCACTGTGATGCCACTCACAATTCTCGAAGACTTTCGACAAATTTCGGCTGGATCCTGCTAGTACCTGTGTCTGGATGCTCAAAAGTGCAGACACGACATCAGGATAACTCGTTGAGAGACGGATGCTTCTTGTATGGGATGATGAAGTGAAGATGACTTCATACCTCTTCCTTCCTCATGGGGCAAACACAACTGCTGCATCCCACCACTGCCACCATTTATAACGGGCTTGTTTTGGTATTCTGGTAGCGGGTGTGAATGATATACTTCTTCGGAGGCTTCTTTGTTTATTGTTAAGTCGTTGTGGGTACACAGGCTTGTGTGTTGTGCCCATGGCCCGGGCAGGGCCATCCCACGAGAGAGAGCTGGGAGGCCTTGTGTCTTGATGCCAGGCCGCTGTGTGAGTGAGAGCGAGGCAAGTCTGGGCATACTGAAGTGGGAAGGCCTAGGTGGCAGCACCAGCATAGCGCGAAATATGAACTAAGCTGGCAGACAGCATGGGCTGTCTGTGCAGACAGTACAGGCTGTCTACATGTTGAAGAGCCGGTGACTGCTGGCAACTCCTACAATGACGAACGGTCGACCTCAACCCTTGTTTATCAATCGCTGTATCTAGCTTTTCTATTTTTTTTTTTTTTTTTCCGTCTCCACCACAATAAATGCTATATTATCACTATAGTTGACTGGTGCAAATTTTGGAGGAAGGACGCTTTTTCTGTAGTAATAATTGCTTCTCGTTGTGTAATGGACCG